GTTTTCGCTCCCGGATTCATGGGATCAACCCCCAAGATATCTAGGATCTGCTGACCCCTGGAGGAGAATTGTCGAATCATGTTTCGGAGAAGTGGCTCGATCTTGAAACATCGTGGCATCTCAATCCATGCGCGGGCTTGGAAGTAGCCGCCGGTGACGGCCGAGCTTTGATATACCATCTTTGCCAGAGTCGTCTTGCCCAATCCACCAATGCCGACGATAGAAATTACCTTGAGTTGGGGATCGTTCTCCTCCATTAGCCGCCCAACAATCTCACGCTTGTAATGATCCATGCCCATGGGTCCAACTTCCTTCACAAAAGAAGCACAACGTCGAAGAAGGCCAGAAGAGCTGGAGGCACTACTTGAGCTGAAACTTCTTGCGCCTCCCGGAGAAGGGCCAATTCCGAGGGCGTAGCGTGCACGCCTCTCGCTCACATCGCGAGCGCGGAGCTTTAGCTTGCGCAGGTCAGTTGCGATAGAGTGACGTGCTTTGAGTGTCCTCAGCAGGCGAACAGTATGGAGGAGCACGCCTGCCAGTGGATGCTGGTGGCGAGGCCTCCGGAGACGATGTCGGAACACGTCAACGCAATCCTCAGCATCGTAAGCCAAATCCCTAACTTGCTCCATCCATGTTTTCACTTGCTTGTTATGATCCAGCGAGGAAGACAGGACGGCCAGGAAGGAGTCCATGCTCTTGAGCTCTTCCAGTATGTACTGTATGTCATCTTCGACGCCTGCAAGCAATCCTGCTTCTTCTGCCAGGATGTTTCCTAGCTTCCCTAAGAGGGACGTAGTGACGCCCTCCGCGAACCCCATAGCAAAGGCTTCCATCCGATCGATCTTCACTCAGTGTTAGGAAAATGGTGGACAAAGTGTTTATGCAGAAGGTGTGTGTTGTACCATCTGATTTAAAGCAGTTGGCGGAGGGCCGGGATGGAGATGGGGGTTTCCTTCACCTAACACTTGGTTTCTTAATCAAATAGTTGTGGTAGTGTGAAGTCATCCAATACATACATTGGATCATCTGATGCACGCTGGTTTAATATATGTTTCTCTTTCTTTTATCTGTCATTCGAACTGGAAGGGAAGAAAACAAGCAAATATACTTGAATGACTTGATGACTAATTTTTCTATCCTATTAATGTTTTAGAAGACATGATGTCGCTATACCATTACAATCGACCCACCATGCCACATCGAGAGATTTAATCTAATTTTGAAAGTCTTCATAATGGATGAACAATCATTGATTTCACACTAGTATGTCTCGTAATTAATTGGGGAAACTTGGTGCACTAGAATACAGCAAGTTTAGCCATTTCAATTAGATGGTTACATTTAGAAAAAAAACTGGAAGAAAAGTCTCACAGACAACTGTTCCTGAAAGGTTCTTTTGTGCCCAACTCTTTCTGGAAACTATATGCACGAAGTGATGTTTCAGCTGTCAGATAGAGACACAGGCAAGCCAAGTTGCATCCTCATCAATCCGGTCGCAAGACTTGTGCAAGTCTCCGAAAAAGGGACCACCGAACCAAAATTAACAGCTATCAAGTCAATAACGTTAGGAAGACTTGACTTGGAAGCATACGAAATGCCAAGCCATCAACCATTTACAACGATCGCTTTCTCAGAAGCAGCTGCGAAGCATCCCCCTCCCACAGTGCAGGATGCCTCTTTGTAACACTCCGACTAATCTTTAATCTTATATCGAAAAGAGTAAAATTAAAATTATCTTATAAAAATTTAATGAATGTATAGTTATTAATTTTAAATTAAATAGTTTAATTAGTAGCTTAGGTCCAATAAAATTGATAGATCAATTAGTTTGTTAGACTCTAATCGTGACATTTGATATCAGAACCAATATAATATTTGAGTATGGTGAGAGGATTCGAGTAAGAAAAAAATTTTCATGGATGGAGTCAGGTATTATCACGATATGAAGCCATCAGTAGATACACCTCACATGTATCATGCAAGGATTTGATTTGAGTTATACTGGGCTCGACAAGGATGTCAAACCCTTGAGTATACCATTATTGATTTCAGCTTAAGTATTTTGACCAACGATTTGGACCAAACAAACTTGATGGGCTAATTATCTATTAAGTTTTAATCATGACATTTGATATCAGAACTGACATAATATTTAGATGTAATGAATGGACTCGAGTAGGTAAAGACTACATGTAAATGGAGTCAAGACTCATCATGACATGGATTGGACTACGTGTCACATGCATCATATTAGGACTTGATCTATGTTATGTTAGGTTTTGATGAAGATATCGAGCTTGAGTATAGAAAACTATAATACCCCATTAATCCTATATTAAAAATTGATAAAATTAAGATTGACGTATAAGAGTATGATAAGTATACTATTATTAATTTTAGTTTAAACACGCTGACTAATAGCTTGAGTCAAATAAAGTAAATGGGCTAGTTAGCCCATCAGATTTAATAAATGTTGAGTGAGAAAAATTATAATTTTATAAATATTTTTGAAAATGAATAAGGTTAGGATTGATTATATTTCAACATCAATTTCAATATAAATATTTTGGTAGCTCGAGTCGTGACGCTCTCTCTTCGCTTAAACATAGGTTCTAAAACTAACATTTATCATCCATGGAAATGTGTAATATCATCATCGGAAAGTTGGACTTTCCGTGGTGCCATTTACAAGATGTAGATTTTACAATCTCCAATTTATTCTTAGGTGTAATATCTTTAACCATCTTTGTCATGCTTCTGTAAAAGAGAATGCCATTGGTCACATGTGTGATCATCAGCTTTCTCTTGTGAATCTTGCTTTTGCAGTACTATTTTGTTTTTTTTCAAGTACGAGGTTTCATCAACATTAAGTACTACTGTTTTAAATAATTTAAATATTAGATTGTTAACTTTCCGAAGAAGCAGTGTCTTAGAATTCAATAGAGATCATCTTGCCAACTATAACATTGAAGTGGTGTGGATGATATTCTTTACGGACCATAATATTATTGTTAGGATTGTTTTGATATTAAGAGGAGGGTGAATTAGTATTTTTGATAAAAATATTAATTTTAAAAAATATTCGTTCGATAAAAATGATAATGAAAACATACTTAGCTTATAGTAAGTAAACTAAGCAATTAATTCAGAATGTAATAGCAATGAAATGCAGAAAGAAAGTACAAACTAATTTATAGTTGTTCAATCGACGTGACCTATGTTTACTCTCGATTCCTCTTCCGTCGAGACCATTGGCTTCCATTAACGATCTTCTTTCAATGGGTAAAGATCAACTACCCTTTTGTAACACTTTTCTCTCTTTGACAAGCTCGAGACGATCTTTACAAGCCTCACACATCTTTTAGATTAAGCTCGAAATTCAAAGAGGAGGAGGATACTTAGTACTTTTTCAACTCAGAATAACAACCCCTTTTTACTCTTTTTTCTTACTACTTTAAGCAGGAATAGCTGGGATATTTATAGACCCAAAATGGATTCAAATTTGGAGCCAAGAAGGGTCTCATCCCGGGTTTTCGAGGTATTGGCTGTACCATCGCCAGTACTGGATGGTACCACCGCCTGCCAGATTGATAGTTGGTGGTACCACCACCTGTCAGTCTGACACTAGGCGATACCACTGCCCAGTTTGACACTGACACTAGGTGGTACCACTGCCTAATCTAGTGGTACGACCATCTAACACAGTCTTAGAGATTGTGTTTGGGCGATACCACTACCTAGACAGCTTGGGAGGTCGAGCCTCAAGCGGTGCCATCGTTAGCCCTAGTAGTGCCATTGCTTGGGCCAGCTAAAGGTAATTGAATAAGCCTTCTACTTGGCCCAGAATAGCCCTAACTCAAGCTCAATGAGCCCCTAATTGAGTTGGCATGGTTACACCCCAAAACCGACTCAATTAGACTCTAAACTTCAACCAAGACTTAATTACAATCATGAAGCCTACGTTGTCCAATATATCATTGGTGTTAGGATCAAGAGCAGCACTAAGAGGGGGGAGGGGCGGGTGAATTAGTGTAGTAGAAAAATTATCGGTTTCAAAAATCTTCGTTTCGATTAAACCTGATTCCAACGAAAATCGTTTCGTAAAGATATTGACTTGAAAGCATATGGGAGTGTAGAGAAAGCAATAAGAAGGTAAAACCGTTTGCAATTAAGGTAAATTGCTCAAAACAAAATGCATACTAGAATTTAGAGTGGTTTGGTCGTTGTGACCTACATTCACTTCAGATTCCTCCTCCGTTGAGGTCATCCGCGTCCACTAATGGCCTTCCTTCAAATGCGAAGACCAACCACCATTTATAGCTCTTTCTCCTTTTACTGAGTTTAGGAGATAATCCTTACATGCCTCACTCCTCTTTCTTGAATATTTACAAAGCTAAGGGAGGGAGGGGAGGACTCTTCTCACTTTTACAATACTTTAACACCCCAAGAATTCAATATTATATTAATACTTTTATGCCCTTTCATGTAGAAAAGGGTGAGATATTTATAGGTCCCAATGACTTCAGAATTAGAGCTAAAAAGTGTTACATCCCAAGATTTCGGGGTACTGGCGGTACCACCACTTGACACCTAACACTAGGTGGTACCCACCTAGTCTAGGCGGTACGATCACCTGATAGAGCTCAAAAACTAAGCTTTGGCGGTACCATCGCCTAATAGGGGTAGTACCACCATTGGTAGCATTAATTGTCGATGGTACCATCGCCCAGAACACTTAGGAGACCGAGTCCCAAGCGGTGCCACCGCTGATCCTGGCAGTGCCATCGCCGATCGTGGTTTCAAGTGCTGAATGAGCTATTCAATCCGGCCCAATTCAGCCCTATTAAGGGCCCAATTGGCTCTTGACCGAGTTAATGGGATTACTTCCCGATCCTAACTCAACTAATGTTCTAACTATGATTAAGGCAAGCAATTAGTCTGGTATGTCGAATTTTCTTTTGGCGAACCTCCGACGAACTTCTCGACGAACCTCCAACGAACTTCTCGGTGAGTCTTCCGACGAGCTTCCAGTGAACTCTTGACGAACTCTCGGCGATCATCCAACAAACTCTCGGCGATCTTCCGACGAGTTCTCAACGAGCTCCCGATGTACTTCCGGTACATCGTTCGAATCATCGACTCCGGCCCATCATCTGCTTTATGCCTTATCGCTATCGTAGTTAATCCTGCACACTTATCTCAATACATAGATTAGGTCAAATAATTTACTAATTGATTTCATCATCAAAATCTGAGATTCAACAATCTCTCTCTTTTTTATGATGACAACCAATTGGTGAAGGAGTTAACCTTAACTCCCCCTATCGATATACCATACTTTGAGAAAAGACACTCTTGAATTTAAGACCTTTGAATTCAAGCATCAAATTGATAAGTTATATTCATGCATAACATGATATTTATCATGATTCACCAAATCAAAATATGATACCATGTATCAATTTTCAAATTTCAAAAGATGATACGAATATGGAATCTAGCAAGATGACAATTCATCATGGTATCAATTGTAAATAGCAAGTTAAGCTCATGATTCCTTACCATAATATTTGATATGAAATCAAGCATGATAAAGTATTTACAAGTAATCATGCCACAATACATTGAGATATTAAATGAACGATTTTATCACTTCATGCATGATAAAGTAGCCTTATAATGCATGAAACATCATCATTATATTGCATGGTAACATTCAAAAGTTAAGAATATGATATTACATCATTGTATGGTAATAATAAAATTTCACAACATCAAAAGTTCTTGATATTTAAGAGATCACAATCATTTAAAGAGATCCAACATCATCACAACATCACAACATCAAAGTGAACATAATAGCAAAGTGAACATTATAACATTCAGAGAGATCATCAACTTCTCCCCCTTT